ATATTTTAACCCCTGTTTTCTAATTTTTCTTTCAAAAATACCCCCATAACCCAAATTTTCACCAATTTTTTTCAAAATCGTTTTCAATTTCATCCTCCATCAAATTTTCTTCATTTTTACACTAAATTAAAAATAAAAAAAATTAAAAAATTGTATAAATTAATTTAATTTACATTAAATTAAAATTGAGCATTACAACTCTCTCCTCCTTAAAAGAAATTTGGTCGCTCAAATTTGTTTCTCTCTTCACAATCAAATAGTTGGGGATATTGGGCTTTGAAGTCAGATTATAGCTTCCATATGGCCTCTCTCGGTGTGTGATTCTGCTACATGACCTTAACAAAGAGAATTTCCTGTTGCAGAGTAATATGCTCTTTTGGTCCACAATATCGACCGGTACTTTTTCGTAGGACAATGTTTCTGGAGTGAAAGAGACTCGTGGGCCAAGATGTGAGAGGGGTCCAGGTTGTACTTGCGTAGTATGAACACATGAAACATATTATGGACCCTAAAAAGTTTTGGAGGAAGAGCCAATTGTACAGTTCAGATCAAATCGCGATAAATGTTCCAAATTCATTATCTCTTTAAACGCGATCGGACGGTCGAGAGCAAATGCGATGAATAGTCCATATTTAAGGAAGACATGTATAAATATCTCACTTCACACCGAACCCAAACCCTAGCCACCAGCCCTCCCGCTGGAGAAGAAAAACCTGTCGCCGGAGAAAGAAACCGACCATCGCTGGCCGTCGCGCCAGAGCCACCTCTGACCGTTAAAAAAAGTAAAAATTCACTTATTCACTCGAAATTTAATTTTGAACACCCTCATGGACAAATTGGAGCAAAAAGAACAGTGGATGAGTTAGAAATCGTGGGTAAAGCTCGACGGTGCTGCCGCAGGAAAAATAAAAAATCGCCTGCGATGAGCCCCTTCTCGTTTTCTGTTATGTGCTATTTTTCTACCATTATGTTCATCATTCTGTTTTCTACAGGTTGACCGAAGAAAAATGCCCAGTCGCGAAGGTGAGCCGGCGGAACCGCCACACCAGAAAAATCTGCCGCCAGTAAGTTTTTATTTTCGATTTTTTTCGGCCAACCGAGGCCCTTTAACGTTTTTTCTCGCAATGATGAGTATAAAATCGGCCAAAACTGACAAAATTTGGCCGAAAATAGCTAGTTCGAGGCAAACCGCCGCTGCGGGCAGCAGTGCCGTCGCCGAAGCACGGTGGTGCCACCATGCCAGAATTCTGAAATTAGCCAGAAAAAAGTTTTTAACATCAATTTTAGATTTTTGGGGTATTTTTAGGTACGTGAAACGTGTTTTTATCTCTGTAGAAAAATTCAGGAAACCTATGGACTGACAGTAGGCGTAGTAGAAAGTTCAGTATTTCGGACATCGATTCGGGTAAGAATCTCTCACCTTATTCTCTATTATAGAATTGAAGTCTAATTATAAATAATACAGTATTTTGTGTAAATTAAAAAAATTTGAGAATCAATTAGAGGTTACTAATGGAGCCGAAACTGGTTGTTTATTACTGTTTGCCCTATTTTAACTAATTGTTTGATTTTACAATTTTAAATGCATGATAATACACTAAAATTGGTAAAATGATTCAGTTGCATTTCTTTGATGTATGTATTGCTTGTTTTGAGTGATTTACAGTTAAATTGTAAAACTGAAAATTAAATATAAACGAAAAATTGTTTGGTAAGTGAATTAATGAAACGGTTATTTTACTGAATATCTTGAGAGATGGTGGACGGACTGGGTACATAGAGAACCCTACTGTGAGCATTACTTCATACCAAATGGGGTATAGAGGAATGATATTTTGCCGCTCATACCGGATGAGGTATGGGGACAGTCTAATTCACCCTCATACCAGACGAGGTATTAAGATATGGTACTTTTGGTGCTCATACTAGACAGGGTATGGGGACGACCCAATTCACCATAATACCAGAAGGGGTATTGAGGGATGATACTTTTGGCGCTCATACCAAACGAGGTATTGGGACAGCCGGTTAATTGACAAGTTTTGTTATGGGTTCACGCGTAGTGGGACATCCCTATGAACCCCCATGGATGCGAGTAGGCAAATAAAAAGGGAAAGTTGTTATTCTTACTTACTTGAATATGAGATTATGATGTTGTTGAACTATTGTCTCTATAGGTTGGTTTTGAAAATCTCACTACGGTAAGTATGCAATAAATAGTTTTATTTATGATAAATGAATTTACTTAATTTAAGAACTCTATTGGTTGTTTTAGAATTTTTACCAACATTCATTTCTGTATCGGTGAGTTATGTGATTTTCTTACTAGGATAA